GCGATCCCGGCAGGGGCTGGCCCTGCTGCTGCTGGGGGTTCGGGGGGTGATGCAGGTTTGGGGGACCCCAGCACGGCCTGTGAGAGTTCCCGGTGCTTTGCTGCCCCAATCCCTCCTGTCCCAAACAGCGACTCACTTGGGAAACTTGCGGCAGGATCCCAGGAACGCCAAAGGGACGGCTCCTCTTGTCCTCTCAGTTGGTTTTCCCTCGTCCCCAAAGAGCCGTTCCAGGGTGGAAAACGCGACCAAGGCAGTGGGCATGGCTGGGGCAGTGGCTGGGATCAGTGTCCAGGAGCACTGGTGGGATCGCTGCTGTCCCTGCCAAATAAAGCCACAAAATAACGTTACTGCACTGGCAGCAGCCACATCCTGCAGGACTCTGTAGGAGCTCACAGCTCCGTGTTTATCTGGGGTTCCCCTTTTCCCGACATCCAGAAGCCTGGATCTGCTGGTGTGGTTTGGGGCAGGAAGCAGGCAAACAGTGAGACAAGTGGGACAGTGAAAACAGCAAATGAGCAAAGGGAGGGAGTTGTGATGGACACTGCAGTGGATTGGGAATGGGGACATGTGGGGATGCTGCAGCACCAAAGCATCTGCTGGCAGTGGCATTTGGGATTGTACAAATTTGTACATTTGGGACAATTTGGGATTGTACAAATTGATTGAGTGATTTTGGATGAGGTACAGGAAGGGACACATGGGTTATGGCACTGGAGGGAACAGCCTGGAGCAGCAGGGCTCAGTCTGCCCTGCAGAGACTTTGGAAGCTCTGCTCTTTACCAAAGGGGCAAAGCAAACATTTCCAGTGTGAAACCTGGCATTGAGCTGAGGCTGGAACCTTCCCGGGTGAGCAGCTGCACCTTCCTGCCAGCGGCTGGGACTGAGTGAACAGGGGGTGGCCGTGTCACCTCGTGTCACTCACCACTCTGTGCCTGTCCCACAGGAGGCTGGGCCCACCATGGTGGGTGATGAGCACTCGGATCCCCACCTGATGAGCATCCTGGGGGCCACAAAGAGGAGCACGCTGGGCAACAACTTGTAAGTGCACCTCTCCTTATTTTCCCAAGAAATGCAGAACATTTTCACTTCTGGAATTCCCCACAGCACCTTCCAGATGTAGAGTTAATCCCAGGATTCCCATGTGTCCTGTTAATGAGGAAATGCTGCCTAATATTTCACTTGGTTCTCTACTTTCCTTTGCTCTGACCCTGCTTCAGCACCTGACCCCCCTTTCCTCTCTCAGTGCCATCCCTGTCTTGCTCTGCCTGTGCCTTTCTTGGTGCTGAGACACCAGAATGCTCACCCAGTTCTGTCCATCCATCCCTCCCAGCTGCAGTCTGTCCATCCATCCATCCCATCCCATCCCATCCCATCCCATCCCATCCCATCCCATCCCATCCCATCCCATCCCATCCCATCCCATCCCATCCCATCCCACTCTCCAGTGCAGCTCAAGGCTTCACCTGAGCCAGCCCTTCCCAACAGCTCCCAAATCTTTTCCATGGGCAGCTGAGCCCTGGGGTTGGAGCTGTTTCCCATTGTGTCACCCTGACTCCAACCCTCCACTGGCATGTTCCCAAGCTGGGGATGTTTGACACTTCTCCATGTCCCCACCTCTGGCCACGCTGAGTTTGACCCAGCCTTTCACCAAGTGCCACTTAGAGATGTGACCAGCATCTTCCTCATCGTTTGGCTCACTTTTTTTTTTTTCTTTTTTTTCCTCACTTGATATCTCACTTCCTGGTTTGCCCTGGGGTGGGGGGAAAAAAACCCCAAAACCACAATGGCAAAGCGAAACAAACCCCCAAATGCAAAAGAACTTGACAGAGAGGTGCAGCTCGATTCCTGCTGTGTCCTATGTGCTGTGGTGTGGAGTAGGAGAAGGAGGAAAGGGAGGAGTAGGAAAAGTAGGAGGAGGAGGCATTAAAACAAAAAGTGCATCTCATCCTAAATGTTCTCCACCTTCCATCCATGGAGCTGGGAAAACCCTCCTACTCAGCACCAGCCTGGCCAACACCAAGGGCTGGATCCTCAGCTGCTGCAGCGTTAAAAACCTGAGTGGGGTGGGAAAAGTTAATAATAAGGAGATAAAATATAACTATCCAGTGCCCCCCATCCCAGCTGCATTCCTGGGGGTTTGCCGGGCTGATCCCTCTCCGTGCTGCTATTCCCAAGCCCGTGGGTGGGGCAGAGATTGGCAGCAGCGCCAGAGTCGTGCTGCCACCCGCCGTGCACAGCCCGGAGTTACGCAACGGGATGGGAGACCGAGAAACACAACAGGCTCCCAGAAGGAACTGGATCCTGAGAGATTTGGGCAAGGATCCTGGGATTCAGGTGGAAAAGGAAGGCAAAGACAGATAAAAGCCTCTGTGATGCCTGCCCCAGCAGCTGAGGGAGCTACAGCACTGTAAGGAGCAGAAGCTCCACATTCTGCCTGTTCTGGGGAAGGGATGGGAGCTTCCTATGGGATCTCCCTGCTGGATTCACCACCACCACCTCCCCATGGCCCGGAGCGTTTTGAGCTGCTCTTGCCCCACCTGCTCCAGTGTCACAGCTGGGAACTCCGCTGTGTCCCTGCACATCCCTGCAGGGCATCCCTGCGGCACAGCACGTCCCTCCACACTGCTCAGGCACACGGGGGAAGTCCCCTGGCTGGAATGTGGCTGCTGGCACCGCCGGGAGCACAGCCACGTGCCAGCCCAGCCGCCTCCTCCAGAATCCCAACCACAGCTGGGAGCTCCAGGATCTGCACTGTGGCCAAGCAGGATTTTCCATCCCCAATTCCTTCATGAGCAGAGCCTGCCTATGGATGCTGCAAACTCCCTTCCTGCAGTACCTTGGGCCCAAGAACTTTAGCCGTGACCTTGTAGGGAGCCTGAAGGAAAACCTCAAGCAGCACAGAGCTGCTGGGAAACTGGGATGTACAGGTGAAGCTGAAATCCCTGTAATGAGGATCCTGTTCCACAGCTCTGCACAGACACACAGCCCCTCATTAAGTCCCACAAGGTGTGGGGAGCAGGGATGTGGTGCCTGCCCTCTCACTCGGGGTCAGAGCCCTTGGGGCAGCCAGGTGGGGCAAGGGTTGGGGTGGGATTTACCTGGAAGAAAAGGCTTTGCAGGTATCCCAGCCCCTCCATCCCGACTGGATGCACATGGAGACAGCAGCAGATCTGATACCCACGGTGTGCATTCTTCATTTCCCTCAACACATAGCTGGGATAAAGCCCTGGGAACTCTTACCTCCTGCTTTTAGCTCAGCTACTCAGTTTTTTAGGTTTCTACAAATCCCGTAGTATTCAGAGGAAGTAGCCTCTGCTACTTCCTCTGAATAGTGGGAATAATATTTACTAGCTCCCACTGCGAATCTGAAGGCTATGTTGCAACCCTCCTGGAGAAAGAACAGACTTCAAAGACACTTATAATAATGCACATTATCTTTACACCACATCTATAATTACAGCCAAGTACAGTCTGTCTTGAGAAACTGGAAAATCTCTCACATCTCAGGTTATTTCATGCTTTAAAGCACTCCCAGCTCCAGCACGGGTCTGAAATCCAAGCAGGAGAAGCTTTGGAAAGGCTTTTGGATCTTTTTTTATCATTATTAGTAGGAAAAGCAGGAGAAGCTTTGTTCAGGTGCCCAAACAGGATCCCCAGTGATCCTGCAGCCCATCATTATCTGCTTATCCAGCACTGTGAGTCAGCTACAGCTGAGCTGCTCTGGTCCTTATCCCAAAGTCATGGCAGAGGAGAGGCTGGCACATCCAGTGCCAAAGGTCCCACTGGCCAGCTCAGCTCAGCTGTCCCAGCCAATTCAGCCCAGCCTGTGCCTGGTCTCTTCACTGGGGAGCAGTGTCACAGCCCTGGAGCTTCTGGGATAGAGGGGTAAGAATGTGGGACAGCTTCTGCTCCAGGCACACAGCCAGCACAAACCACTGGGGAATCAGAGCTGGACAAGGATCCCAGTGTGAGCTCCCAGGCACTGCTGGAACAGGGGAGCTTGGGCCCACCTTGCCTGGCACATCCATGCAGGATGGATGACTACTGGCTTTCCAAAGGTTTCCCACCTGCCTGAAAGCATCACTTTGTTCCAGTCCCCAAATTCTAACAGTCTCTCAAACCCACCCATCTCACAGACATACTCTGCCATGGGTAGAGCATTGAGATTTCATTCCTGAATCATTTCTCCTCTCTTCCTCCATGAATTCTTAGGTATGCTAAAAATGTGCTCACTGTGTTTACCTGTGAACCCTCTGCTGCAGGGTCAGCCCAGTTACCGAGCAGCATGTGGCTCTGGACACCAGCCCCTGAGCCACATTCCCATTCAACCTGATCCTTCCCTCCTGGACAGGATTCCTGTGGTTTGGCACCTGGGGCTGTGCCTTCCCCCGGGGTTAACCGAGGCCCTGTGTCACACACGCCTGTGCCAGGTGTGGCCGCTGGTCTTAGAGGGATCAGGAGCGAGGCAGGCTCACTTCCAGCAGGAAATCCCCATCTCTTCCTCCCCAGCTCACCTCATTCCCATCTCTCCTGGCTGCAGCTGTGAGTACTACGTGAACGACGCTCCGCGCGTGGTCCTGGACAAGCTGGAGAGCCTCGGCTACCGCGTGGTCAGCATGACTGGCGTGGGCCAGACCCTGGTCTGGTGCCTCCACAGGGAATAGCCAGGGAGAACCATGCCTTCCACCTGGACCACATCCTGCTCGAGATAACCTTAAAGGACTGGCAGCATCTTTTCCCCCTTAATTCCTTCCTGTCCCAGACTCCAGGCGCTCGGGCAGGGGAGGAACGGCGCAGAGGCAGAGCTGGACCCAATGGAATTTTGCCATCCCTGTTCCGTTTCCCAAGAGCAGGGGAAGGAAGGTATGCCCAGAAGCTGGCAGAAGGAACAGATGGCTCCAGCTCTGCCTTCAGTGGGATGGCAGTCTGGCAAATTCCAGCTTTTTACATTTTAATCATGTATTCAGCATGCCCTGGAGGAAGCTCAGTAACAGCCCTGTTTGCCTGCCTTCTCCTGGGCCAGGGGGTTAGGGAGGGACAGCAAGCATGGACACCATCCCATCTCATCCCTGAAATCCAAGAGGGAACCACTAAACCTACTCCCAAGGCTCTGAGAATCCCTTCCCTTGGCAGCAAGGCCCACTTCCATCTCAGCAGCACCACAGAACTTCCAGATCCCAGACTGCCATCCAAGCCTAACATGGGATTCCCAAAATAACACAGAAAATGGTGTTGTGTGACTATTCCAGGTGCAGGCCCTAATCCCAACACTGCTGGAATGTTTGGGACTGTGAATGGATCCTGCTATGGGAGTAACACCAATTAGACATAATAAAACATTGCTCCAAAGAGACCAATGTCCTTCTGTGGGCTGTTTAAAGCTGTTGCCAAGTCCCTCTGAATGAGCTTTCAGGAATTAAAATCTTCAGGCTTTGGTGTTCTGAGGGCACCTCTCACACCTTGTCCCATGGGATGGGGCAGCTGCTCTGGGCACACACACTGACAGGGTAACACCTGCACTCTGTGAACCTCAGGCAGCCGTTCCTTCCCCAAACCTGGAATGGGATAAGGGCTGCAGTCCCTGGGAGTTTCTATTCCCACAATACCTTTAGAAAAAAGGAGGTTTATTGACTTAAATAAAGAAACAGCTCTGAGGGGACAGAGGGGTGGGAAGAATCCATACTCTCATGCTAAGTATGGGACTTTTCCTCCTCGTCTTCCCGCTGGAGCTGCTCGATGAGCTGCTGCCTCTCGGCCGCCTGGCGCATCCTCATCATCACCAGGCTCTCGTAGTCCCGCTCCGACACCACCGACGCCTGGGAGGGAGCAGGAAAGACAGACAACCCATCAGGGGCAGGACAGACTCCCAGAGTTCCCCAAAACCCCCTCACAACACCAGCATTCCAGGCAGGAAATGGTTTGATCCCACAGAAATTGGGTGAGGTGGGTGAAAGCTGCCTGGCTACAGGAAATAACCAGGAATTGTTATTAAAATTATTATTAAAAATAACCAGCAATGACTGTGGTTGGTAAGGAAAGCAGGACAGACATGGAGCCAGCATTCCATGAGGCTGAATGGGGAATTATTTTGGATTACAAGATCACTCTGCACCTACAACGTTGGTGCCCGAAGTCCAGCATACACTTCACCTGTTACAAAGGCTAATGCCATAAAAAAATCAATCCTTTGTGGATGAGTCACGGAAGTGACTAACTTCCAACTGCCTGACAACGCTGAGGCCTTGGCAAAGGTTGCCCAGAGAAGCTGGGAAGCTGTGCTGCCCCTGGATCCCTGGAAGTGTTCCAAGCCAGGTTGGACAGGACTTGGAACAACCTGGGATAGTGGAAGGTGTCCCTGCCCTGGGATGGACTTGGAAGGTCCCTTCCCACCCAAACCATTCCATGATTCTAACAGCTGCAATCAATAACTTTTGACGTTTTTTCCACCACAAACAATTCCCCGATTCCAAGCAGAAGCAGAAAGAAAACCACCAGGGATGTTCCCAAACCTGACACAGGAATGGAAGAGTTTCCCAAAGCTCCCAGAGCCTCCCTGCTGTGTGTGGCAGCAACTGTCACGTCAAGGCAGTTGATTGCAGACTCTGCCTAATGAACGTGGGCAGCAGATGACAGCTGCTCCGGTGCTTTGGCGCTGCTCCCAAAGCCATTCCACACTAGTAGGTGGCCGTGCTATTTTGGAGGTATGAAAGCACTGCAAGGCTTGGAAACATCCAGCTCATTCCTTGACAGTTCAGGTGGAAATAAGAGTTTCTTGACAGAAGGTGAATGGGAAAAAAACCCCTTAGTATTCCTTTTTCTAGGAAGCGGGTTAATTGGTGATCACAGAGAATCACAGAATCCCAGAATGGTTTGGGAGTGAAGGGATTCCAAACATCATTTGGTTCCAACCTCGTGCCATGGGCAGGGACACTTTCCACTAGCCCAGGCTGCTCCAGCCTGGTTTTGGACACTTTCAGGGATGGGGCAGCCACAGCTTCTCCAGATATTGAAGGATTTCTTAGGAAGCAGAAGGGATACAAAGGCAATAGAATGCCTAAATAAATCTCTGCATGGAAATATGGGCGAGTGCAATTCCTTATCCTTATCCTGTGCCAGCAAAGTGGTTCCTCCGGCTGCAAGGACACAATGAAAGCCCACAACAGATAAGGAACATCAAGAAGGAAATTAAGAGTCTAATTGGTGTCTTAGGAGCCACCTGAGCAAAATGACCTTTGGGTACTAGCAGCAGCAGTGTCTGAGAAAGCACCGATGGTATCAGCAGCCCTCAGCCAGGATCCTTCCAAGTCCCATCCACCAACCCCAGGAATTTGCTGGGCTGGATGGAAGAGGCTGCCTGAGACTTGTGCAGATGAATCACCCACACAAACCTGAAGCCCCACCTCATGCTGGGATTATAATTTAAAACAGCCAGGAAATTATTTGCAGCCTTGCTTGGGAGCTCTGCTGACACGAGGAGCCTTTGGAGTGGCAGGAGGAAGAACAGCCTGATCTCCAGGTGGGCTCCCAGCACGTGCTCCTGGCTGCCTGAGCGTGGGCTGAGGCTCCACCACTCCACACACCTATTTCCTGCAATCCTGGCAATTACCAATGGAGTGAAACCCAGTTTCTGACGTGGCTGACTCAGCAAGGGCTTGGCTCAAAACAAACACATCCACGCAGGGAGCCGCAGCCCGGGAAGCAGTGACGGGTGGCACATGAAGGGACGGCGGCGGCAGAGCTGGGGAGTTTTGGCATTCTGGGTCCAACCTGGCTGAATTCCTGGACTTGCTTCTTCATCCTGGTCTCTGAGTGCTCCAGCAGCTTCTCCTCTCTGCTCCAGGACTCCTGGCTGCTCCAACAGAGTGTAAGTCTCTCCTGCACTCCGTTCTCCCAGCGTTGTCTCCTGCACTGTTGCTTTCTTCATCCCCCTTCTCCCGTATTCCCTGGGTTCCTTCGGTGGGACTGAGTCACCGTCTCGTTCCCAGCCACCCACGGCGCTTTTCCGGCGGTGCCCCTCCTCAGAAGGTGCCTGGTTACCATGGCACCCGAGTGCCCTTCTGTTCTAGATGCCAGATTAGATCTGTTCTCATGGTGACTGTGCCTCTGCTGTTCCCGACCAGCCCAGAGCCGCAGCACACGTTTAACGAGCTTGCTCACACACCGCCTGCCGCTCCTCTCCACTCCAGGGGGAGACTCCTTCAGATCCCAGACAAGCCGAGTGCTCCTTGCTCCTTGCCACGGCGTGGAGTTTGCATTTCCTGCACTACCAGCCTCTCTGTGCTCCTTGCAGCTCCAGGAACGGGGCAGGAAGAGGTTGATCCTGTTGCGTGGCTCTCTGCTGATCCCTGGGCTCCTGCCTGTGAGGAGCCAGCATTCCTGCTCCTCGCTGCCTTTCCTCACCATGGATACTTGGCGCAGGGGGTCCCTCAAGTCCACCACCTTCTTCCGGCGCTTCTCCCTCAGGAGGCACAAAAAGCTGGGCAACCAAGTCATCATCCTGAACCAGAACAGCCACACTCTGGACACGGACGGCCAGAAGAGGGAAGGCTTGAGGGATCTGAAGGACAAGTCTGAGTACCTGTCCTGTCAGAGCGAGCAGAACCTGGCCAAGGCACAAGCCCCTCCCAAGCCTCCTCGGCTGTACCTGGACAGTTCCAGCTGCCCCAACATCATCGACCGCACAGATTCCCACTCCGACCTCTCCTTTTCCGACGCCGCTCCGTACCACAAAGGCGCTCCCACGCACAAGGACCAGGCTACGGACCACGGCACCTCAGAGGCAGGTCTCCCCAGCAGCACCACTCTTCCTGAGCTGGCTGACCCCTTCCTGTCCTTCAAAGTGGATTTGGGGCTATCTCTCCTCGAGGACGTGCTGCAGACCCTCAGGAAACAGAACCCGAGGGATTACGCCATTTGAAGGTATTCTTTGTCCATCACATCCCAGTTACTCGCTGCTGCTGCCAGTTCCTCCCGTTCCAGCAGGAGGAAGGATACTGGAGCATGCCTGTTGTGTGTGGCCTGTTTTGTTGTCCTCGCCTCACCCACCACAGAGCATCCCTGTCCTTGCCAAGGAATCCTCTGGAGCAGAGCTCTGTGCTCAGGTGAGAGCACCGTCTGCTGTCTCATGGCCAACTTTCCGCTCTCTACCCCGGGAATTTCCCACTCTGGACTGCTCGTCCCATCCTCAGGGAAGACTGGCACTTCTTGGGAAAGACTTATTTTGGGGATGTGACACTGTGGGGCAGGGACACACAGGGATTTGGCATGGATCACTTGTGGAACAGCAGGCAGCCTGCAAGGAGGCAGCAGCACTGCACCCCGAAGCCAAAGCTTTGAGGGCTGAGAGACGGGAACTGGGGCTTCTCCTCCCACCATGTTTGGATGCGAAAGCTCAAAGCTGTTCCTCCGTTTTTTCTCTTCCTCTTTGTGGGTTTCTTTTCCCTTAACTCCAGTGCAGGTAGCACTCCCAGCCAGGTAAGCATCCAAGTAGGCTCCTGATACAGCACCAGCAGTGGATTTATCCTCCTGGCAGAAGAGGTGTCTCTGACACTGCTGCCTCACGCATGCACTGAGCTCCCAGCTGTACAGACATAGAAGAATAAATGTATCTGTGACTGGAAGTGTCTGGTTGCCTCATTTCCTTGGGAACAAGCCACAGAAATCCCAGGCACCAGGAGCACAGGCTATCTGGAGTGGCCCAGGCCCATCCTCCCTGGCACTGCAGGGTTTTATGGTGGGGGTGGGACACCTGTGTGGCTCTGAGGGAAGGACAGAGGGAACAGGGACTTGATTTTCCCCTGAGGTGAGCTCAGGGAAAGACAGCAACAGCTGCCCACCCTGAGCTGGACAGTGGGAAAGGCTCTGCCAGGCTGAGAACATTTTGGGCAGCACCAGGACAAACTGCTAAAAGAAACTACCAGTTCTTAGCTTTTTGACTATTAGGGCTCTTTTAAAAAACAATTTAAAAACCTCCATGCCCCAGATCACCAGGAGCTTTGGAAGTGGCCACAGCAAAGTGCAGGGACACTCCAAGGAAGGCACAGCTGCCTCTTACCGTGTGAGATTCACCTCCCAAAGTCAAATAATATGAAATAAACCCTCTGAAACTTCTGAAGGAGCTTAGAACAGGTACAAGAACACCAGGCAGGAGGCTTTTCTCAGGGCTGAATGGCTGAGGAGCCCTGGCAGGGAGATTCCAGTGCAGGAGCAGGGAAAATCTTCCCAAAACTGAGCACTGCATGCTGTTGGAATGGCAAAACAAGCTCTCTGCAGCCACTGTGTGCTTTGAACCATCACACAGCCACTGCTCTCAATAGCCTGGAGTAATAGTGTCCAAGCCACAGCTTTTGAATTCCAAGGCCAACTGGAGCCTGCTTGGCTGCAGCAGCTCTCCAGGAACTGCTGCACAATGTGCACCTGTTTCTGTAGGAGACAACAAAGCTGTGGAAAATGAGCAGCTTCCACCTGGGAACTGCTCCCAAACCCCCTGCCCGGGGTCTGGCTGTCCTTTACCTGTGGATTTTGGCTCTCAGGTCCTGGCTGGCTCTCCCAGGCAGGGAGTACTGGCTGCCTGTCCCAGACAGGGAGCAGAGGATGAGTAGTGAGCGTGTTGCCATGAGAACACTGCAGGCTTGGGCTGTTTCCTGAAGCAGAGCAGCAGAGGAGCTGCTTTTGCACAGAGTGGGAACAAACTGGGGGTGGGTTCAGACAAAAACAGAGGGGAGGAGTGAATAGGAAGCAAGGACAGCTTAAATCAGAATGAGGTAAGTGCAGCCTGGAAGCAAGAACGTGGAGCCTGGTGCCTGGGAAGCCAGGCTGGGTGTGAGGGGAAGAGGCAGAGGGAACAGGGATCTGGGAGCTCACTCTGCACACTCCTGAACTGGAGAGCACAAACTAAGTCAGCTGGAAGCAGATCAGCCAGGAGGAGCTGCAAACACATTGCAGGTTTTAGGAGCATCCCAGTGGATGCAGCAGGAGGATTTGGGGAGGGTCTGGAGTGGGAACAAGGGAAAACAGGAAAGAGAGCAGCTAGGAGATGCAAGGCTGCAGTGCAATCCCAGAAAGTGCAGCTTCCTACAGCTGAAAGCAGCAGAGAGGACAGCAAAGCACCAGCTGTGCAGCTCCTGGGCAGGATGCAGGTCCCTGGCAGCAGCTCCTCAGCACTGCCAGAGCCAGGTGGGATTGAGGAGCTGTGCTGGGCAGAGGTGAATCACCAGCACTGTGTGTGCTGCTTTCCTGCTCTCCCTGCTGCCCCACCACACTAATCCTGCACCGCAGGCAGACGCTGCACTTCCACACTAACAAGCTCCGGGCATGGAAACAGGCCAAGACAAACTCAGGGATCTGAACCCACAGAAGCTGGAATCCACTACCAAAGCTCCAACTGCACCAGCAACCCCCTTGGTAGGAATGAGCCAGTTCACACTCTCTGCTAGTGAGAAATTCTCAAATAACATGTTTTGAATTCTGCTTTTTGTCCCAGTTTCCTTCCTAACACTCTGGAGACTCTCCTGTGGCTGCAGGGCTCTCCCTGGTCCTACATGGACAGGATAACAATCAGGGGGTTTGGTGCATAATTACAAATAATATAAATAAAATACTTAAAGAAACATCAAGAGAGTGAATGCACTGAACTATCTCACAAGCTTAAAATATTTAGGGAGTGAACACACAAAAGGGTATTTAGCTTGATATTGCTCCTGCAGACCCTAAGAATAGAGGTTTGCTTCCAGCACTGAAGCTTCCTCCTCCTGGGAATGCAGTGAGCAACCAAGACTCTCCAAAGGAACTTTCAGCAGCTCTCACTCAGAGGATTCCAAAAATCCCATCAGAATGGCACTGGAGGCTTTGGGCTGAGCAAGGAACATTCTTTGTTCTTCACTTGAGAGGAAGGGAATGTGTGAAGATGCAAACAGCTCCCAGTGTGCTGCTGCCCAGGCAGGAGGTCCTTTAGAAAGCCACTGATCCAGCACAGAAAGGGCTGCTGGGAAAGCCAGGCCTGGCCCCAAGAGCTGCTATCTGACAGCACTCTGAGATGTAGGTTGTTCCAGGATTTCCATCTCCTTACCTGTGAGCTCCTGGGCTGGCTGCTGCTGTCGGGGAGGACGGTGCTGGGGCGGCTCTGGGGCTGGCCCTCCAGCCAGGAAATCTTCAGGGGGTTATTTAGCAGGCCAACCTCATTCTTCACAGCCATCTCCTGGCAGGGAAAACACCCTTCCATCACCACCTGAATTTCAGATCCCACTCCCTCCCCTCACAAGTCCCTAAGAATCATCTCAGAATGGCCTCAAGGCCAAGCAGGGCACAAGCAAGACCTGTCTCTGGAAGTGTCCAAGGCCAGGCTGGAAGGGGCTTGGAGCAACCTGGGATTATGGATGGTGTCCCTGCCCATGACTGGGGACTTGAAATGGATGGTCTTTTAAGGTCCCTTCAAATCCAAACCATTCTATGGTTCCACTCTGTAAGATTTTAAGGATCTTTCCAACCCAAACCATTCCATGACTCTCAGATTTCACAGGTGCCCTACATGAGAAGCACCTCTATGGTCCATAGCCCTGCCAGCACTTTTGATACACAGGTCACACACAGTTCTGGGGGGTTTTATCATTTGGATATGAGTGAAAGAAAAGCTAGCAAGGAAACTCTCATACAGCCCAAGCTCATGGAACTACTGAAATTCAGGATAACTGATGACTTTTGCTCCCACAGCCACATGAATTATTATAACTCACAGTGAGTCAAGACATTTTGGTTTGTTTTTCACTGCAAATGCCTGTTATCACCTCCAAAACACATAAGCCCAACTCCAAGGCATTTCACCTTCAGAGGGAGCTGAGTAAGTGCTCAGTGCCTGATTTTTAAGGCAGTGCCTCCTCCCTCAGCCTGTTCCATGCACAACCTGTTTATGTGCCTGATCTCTGGGTTTGTGCCTGCAGCTGTGCCACTCCCTCTGTGCCTTTTGACTCTCATTACCCTTCTCCACTGCCATAATGACAGGGCAGTGTCCTGGCTGTCACCTGTCCTGTGCCACCCCCAGCACAGCCAGCAGGGGCTCTGCACACTCACAGCTGCCTTCACCGTGGCAAATTCCACCACTGCACTGCCACTCTTCCTGCTGGAGATCAACAAATTGAGCACATCACCATACTGTGGGAAGAAAGAAAGGAAGGGAAGTTAATTACAGAGCCAGGAGAGATGTCAAGTTCAGTTCTCAAATGAACACAAAGAGAAAACATGTGTTTTCACAGACATGAGGCTTGAGCTGTCACCATTTCTGTCCTGCCTCCACTGCTCCCACATTTCTGTCCCTCCAGGAAATAATCTGGGAAGGCATGGAGCTACACACTTGGCTCCCAGTGCAAGAGGGCTGCTGAGCTCAGAGGGAAAGGAGGCCAGGGTGGGATTGATCAGAGCAAAGGCCTGTCTGTGCCTGTCTCTGCACTTGCCACAGCAGGGATCTGGAGTGCTTCAAGTGAAGGATGAGTGCACCACAACCACCGAGCCAGATTAAGTGGGCAGGAGGCATCCAGTGGGAAGAGCCTGCAGTTGTTCTACTGGGAAACAGCTCCCAGCTCAGGGATCAAAGGATCCAGCTTGGTTCAAAGGTTGGATTTGATAATTTAAGAGATCTTTTCCAACCTTAATGACTCCATGATCATGCTGATGAGCTCTGAAAATTGCATAAGAAAGCTGAACAGGGAAGGAAATTAACCACTCCAGCTTACAAGGGCATGGAGTGACAGGACACAGGGAATGGCTTCAAACCAGCTGTTTAGTTCAGATTACCTGTTCAGATTAGATTAGGATAAAATCCTTCCCTGTGAGGATGCTGAGGCCCTGGCACAGGTGCCTAGAGAAGCTGTGGCTGCCCCATCCCTGGAAGTGTCCAAGGCTGGGTAGGACAGGGCTTGGAGCAACTTGGTCTAGTGGAAAGTGTCCCTGCCTGTGGCAAGGGGTGGAACTGAATCATTTTTAAGGTCCCTTCCCACCCAAACCATTCCATGATTCTGTGATATGCAGCTTCCCAGAACTCACTATTCTTACAGGACTGGGATCAGGGGAAGACCCAGTAACACACAGGGAAGAGTGTCAGACAGGACCTTTTGCAGGATCTGCAGCAGCACATCTTTGGAGTATCCCCCTCCAGTCTCATCTTCCTTCCTGCATTTCCACCTGAGCTGGGGAACAAACGGCAGGAGTTAATTTTTCCCCTTTGGATGTGCTGCCAGCAGCTCCCACCCCCCTGCACATTCACCACGTCTGCTATTTCCAGCCACACTCCCAGGCCTGCCAAGACAGTGATCTCAGCATGGGAGTGAGCACAGGGAACAAACTGTTTGGGGAACAGGGAGAAACGCTGCTCACTGGAATAAAAAAAGATCGCATTTGAAAGGATGCTAATGGCTCTGCCAGGGTAATTAGCAGATGTTTCCTGTGCTTGAAGCACAGACAACTCAATCCCAGGCTCAGAAATCTGGAGCAGACAAAGAAAAGGTGACTGAGGAAGGAATTCTAACAGCAAGGACAGGAGCTGTTCACCTGATGATGCAAATTCCATGGAGCAGAATTTATACATCCCAGTATAAAAAAAGATGTGCCAGCTCACCAGGGTTGAAATGTCCCTTCTGTTTTCCACCATGTTCTATCAGTTTTCACCAAAACACAGCTTTTTAAGGATGTCTTACCTTGAGCTTAGGAGTTATTTTGCATTCTGCTCCATTTCTTTCCTGCTTGCCTAAAGAGAGAAAAAGCAAAAAAAAAAAAAAAAAAGATGGAAAAGATGGAAAGGACACAGGTGAAAATTCCTCAGCATTTTGCACAAATTTTTGTTCCCTGAGAACATACATATGATGAAACACTTTGGGATTTCCACTGGACCATTCCAGTCCCAAAAATCTCATGCAACAGGAACTGCAGCACAGACTAAATACTCCATGGCATCATTTTTCCCTTTTAGGAAGCACAGACTTGCCAGGATCAAGGCTAGAAACAGGTCAGCAAAAACACAAGCCGGAGACATGTTCTGAGGCATTTTTCCCTGCAAGAAGGTTGGAAAAATTCAGGGTGGAGAGCTGCCAAAGAGCCCAAGGCCACGTGCAGGTGCTCCCCGTGCTCACCTCGGCTCTGCTGCTCCCTCTCCCGGCGGATCTGCTCCCTGACCAGCCTCTGCTGCTCCTCCAGCTGCCGGGAGCCCTCCTCCCGCAGGCGGATTATCTGCGGCACAGGGAACACAGCACGGGCACCTGAGGCACACAGCCAGGGCTGCAAGGCCACCTGGACACTTCCAAGGACAGCCTGAGCCTCACACACATCTCCTGGGACACCCCTCCTGCCAGTTCCCCTGGACAGCTCCAAAAGGAGCAGCCTGGTGTGGTGGAAGGAGTCCCTGAGCATGGCAGTGGCTGGAACTGGATGGGCTGTAAGGTCCCTTCCCACTCAAACCATTCCAGGATTCTCTGATTCACAGAGCCTTTTAATCCCAAAGGTTGATGCACTGCTCTCCAGAGACTTTTTGCACCTGCTTTTAATCCCAAAAGTTAAAGGACTGCTCTCCAGAGATTTTTTTTGCACCTTGAGAGGAACAGCAGATTTGTCTTTACAAACAAGCTGTGGGTCCGCTGGTAGATAAAACCAGCACTGGGAGATAAAAGAAACAATGGGAAGGATTCCACTGACTGATGAACGGAAAAAGATATTTGCTTTTACAAATAAATTTTAGGTTAGCTGAGAAATGAAATTAGACATTGAAAGATGAAAGACACAGTGGGGAAGAAAAACCCCTAAATTCTGTAAGAATTTAAAATTAAAAGGGAGGGTTGTACATTAGAGGGAAATCTTTGGTATCAGGTGTATTGGGAAGTCTGTACCTCTCAAGTACCTCAGCAAAAGGGGAAAGAGAGAAGAGAGATATAGCTGGGAAATTAGGATAAAAAGGGAGGCTGCATCCTCCAAAAATTTGAGAGACCCCAGGGGAATGCCCCATGGCCTCTCCCGTTATTGGAATAAAGTCAAAGGACTCCTCTGTCTCCTCTTTGGACATAAACCTCTAATGTTTGTGGATTAATTTTCCTGACAACCTCATCTCATGGATGAAATGGATGGAAATACTTCCAGCAATTCTTCTCAAAAACAGCAGAGAGAACTAAGAATTTATCCTTACTTCTTCTTCTAATGATCTGGTTATCCTGATCTCCTCCTCTTCATTCTCCTGGGACTGGGCTTCCCGTTCTCTGGCCTCAAGATCTGCAGAGAAAGAAACAAAATTCAAACAATCCAAAGAGAACTTGAATTTTCCCTGCTGGCCAGAGGAAGATGGATAGATCACACACCAAAGGAGCCTTAGCAGTCCTCCACCCCCTAATTCCCACAGCAGGACCTAATTCCCTCCTTCCCAGAGCAGGACCACCCTAGCTATGGCTGTGGGAGGAGATTCCAGGTCTACTGCACTGTACTAGGGATGAAGAAACCAGAGTCATCCTCCATGGATTGACCCCAGTGGAAGGAGAAATGCAAGCAGCCAGCTAGGGGAGACCTCAGGAGAAGGTGAGGGCTTGATTTTCTCACCAAGCTTTACTTTCTTCCTCTTCTCATCGAGTTTCTGTGTCCTTGCTGCAGCCTCCTTCTTCGCCCTCCTCACCCTGTCATAGGCTGCCTGCCAAGGAAGCAGCACAACAGTGGGAAACTACAGAAACCAGGAGAGAAACTGGAAAACAGGGAATACAGTGACATCAGGGACTGAAACCCTGTCAGCAGGGCTGAAGCATCTGTTGCTTCTTGGATTACAAGCTTTGCCAGAACCTGAAAAGAGGAGCTCATGTTTTTAGCTTTTATCACCTGGAATCAACACTTTTCCCTCTCCTGAGCTAATTTGGAGAGAGTTCCTTCTTCACTTTTTGGTTTTATCCTTTCCAGGGACATTTCCAGGTTCTTTTAGGCCTTGGGCAGTGGGTTCTCAGCCACCTGCTCACAGCCCCAGAAGGCTCCAAGCTCTCCTGTGTCCCTCAGACAGCAGAGTTTGGAGCCTCAGGAATTGCATCCAGGTATTACTCATTTGTCAGCCCCAGATGTTGCCATGGGAATTTGGTGTTCCTCAGTCAGGGATGGTGTTATGAAATGGGATATGCCCCAGTCCAGCACATTATTAAAGGCAGAATCTCAGGGCAGAGCTGCTCCCAGCAGCAAATCCCAAACATCACCTTTCTCCAAGCTTCTACCTGGCACCTGAGATTTGATCTTAGGGAGAAGTAGGGGGAATAACACCTGAGATTTGTATTGAAGGAGCTCTGTGAGAGCAGGACAGGCAGGATTACAGTTCCCAGCACCACCCCAAAATCCCACCCTTGCCCAGGGAGCATCCTTACCCTGGCTGCTGCATCTGTGAGCACGGCCAAGGCCTGGGACAGCTGGTGGAAAATTTCCGCTGGGAACAACAAGAAAGAAGGGCAAGATGAAGGAAACCAGGTGAGGGACCTGGGGAAGAACCAGGAAAGACAATTCCTGCAGGAAGGTCTCTCCAAAGAACAAAAATCACCTCTGCAAGAACTCTGTAAGCTAACCTGCAGACTCAACTCAAAGGTGATACACAAACTTGAGAGTAAATCAAGAAACAAAAAACTGGGATTGTTTCATTTTCAGAGAAATCTTGGAACACACAAACTTAATTTTTCTCACTGATCATTTTTATTCTGGGTTGCAATATCTCCTTCATGCCACATTTATCTGGAGCTCACAATTTCATTCTCCCTCTCAGTCCTTTTCCTTCAACAAGAAGTCCTGCTTATGTTGTACTGGAAGTTGTTGCATTACAGCCATGTATCCTTTAAGAGTTTTTCCTCTTGTCCCATTACAAGCATTGGCAAATTGTATTTATTTTTTATAAAGATTAATTATGAGTCTTGACACACAAAATACATAGTAACTGCTAATTCTACAACTTCCATCCACAGCAATCCCTCCCTGCAGGCAGCTGAAACTCCCCCTTGCCCACAGATAAAAGGATTTATGGAGTGCTGGTGAAGTTTGGACTGTGAGAGATCCAGATCAAAGCAAAGGTTGGGAAGGTTTGGAAGGCTGCAGCTGTAATTCCAGCACTGACTTACTGCTGGTGTTTCTAAACCCAGCAGGGATCGTTCAGCCTTAAAAAGCAAAGTTAACACCAACAGGAGGAACACATCCAGGGACACCCACCCAGCCATTCCCTCAGCACTTAGGGAAGCAGAGGCACTTCCAGGAGCCTGGAGAAGGGAGAACAGCAGCAGGAAGAGCTGCCCCATCTCTCTCACCTGCCCGGGGGTTGTCGGGGTTCTTGTCCGGGTGGCAGGTGAGCGCCTTCTGCCGGAACGCTGTCTTCACCTGCAGGGGCCACACTGGGGTCACTGGGGAGAAACTGCTTTGGCTCTGCCAAAAAAAGCAACCTGGAAACCCAAAATAATCCCTGTGTGCAAGGGAAACCCGCTGGGCTCGGGATGTGGGTGTGTCTGGAAGGAGCTGGAGCTTTTAAAAGCTGTTCTGGCTTGCAGGTGTCTTGTGTTGCAGGAGTTAAACTTCAGGTTAAAAAAAATGGGAGAGGGGAAAAAAGGGGGGGAGGGGAAAAAAGGGAGAAGGAAAAAACAAAAATAGAGAAGGAAAAGGGGAGAAGGAAAAAAAAGGGGGAGAGAGGGGGGAAAAGGGGGAGAGGAAAAAAATAGGGAGGAAGGAAACTGAAGAGGGGAAAGGAAAGGAGAAAGGCAAAAGGAAAAAAAAAGGCAAAAGGAAAAAAAAAGGCAAAAGGAAAAAAAA